CAGCCAGAATTTGTTTAACTTAGTTCTGTCTCACTCCTCACCCAAACGGTTTAGTTACCGGAAGTACCAGTCTGTCTTGCTAGTATTCTTAGAAACTTACATGAAATTGTACTTAAAGTTTTTAAAAATAAAGCAAGCTATGTCTTAAGGTGAGGAGAACTTTTTTTTTTTTTTTTTTTTTTTACAACCCCCTCCCCACCAAAAGAAGCCTTCGGTGAATCTTTGAAAAGGAGATCATGATTTTCACAGTGGGGAGAATCAAACCTTGGTTGACCTGGCTTATAAATGTTGAGAATTTTGAATGTCCTGTTTTCTTAAAGTGGGATTCAGGCCATATGGCATGGATAGGATAATGTTGGGAGTGAATAGATGCTGTACCATGGACCCCAGGGAGGTTTTAGCAAACGTTTCAGCTTTTATGTGCTAGACCTGATTGAATGCCACTGGCTTAATTAGTATATTGAATGTGATAGGTATGGTGACTTTCCTTCTATTTGCTCCTCAAACTTCTGTCCGTTGCACAACAGATCCTCTCTCTGTCTTGGAGCAGATAGAAACATTCAGAACAATGTGGAAGACAGCCAAGTGGAGAGCCAACCAAAGGACATGGTTGCTCATCTGATTCTCTGAACCCAAGATATAAGGCAGAAACTTTGCATTTGAATCCTGTTTTTTACAATTTACTTTAATAATATTTCCTTCCAGTATGTGTTGTTATTTGTAATTTGAAACATATTAAAGCTAACTGAATTAGGCCTCAGAAATTTGGACTTCTTTAAAAGCAGATTCTATAAAGAACAAGCCTATCAGGGTGAAAAGGGTTATTGCGTGAAATTGTGGGGACATTGTTTCACCATTTTATGATGAAACCAGATACCCATGTAACTCCTTCAGAAACCCAAAGGAATGAAACTTCGGAGCTCGAGGAGAAGATAGAATGCATGTTTTGTCAAGAGGGAAGTGAGATGTGTAAGATCACACAGCTGTCATTATTAGCAGAGTCTGGTTGCACATCTTCAAAGAGGATGCTGGTTACAGAGGTTGTCGGTCTGCACAGGAAAGTTTACAAGGACCTTACCTTGTAACCCTTGGCACTTACGCATGTTTAATATTACTAAAACAGTGTTACCTTATTTTTATTTTTTTTAAGATTTTATTTATTTAAGAGAGAGAATGAGCATGAGCAGGGGGAGGGGGAGAGGGAGAGGGAGAGGCAGACTCCCCGCTGAGCAGGGAGCCTGACGCCGGGCTCGATCCCAGGGCCCCGGGATCATGACCCGAGCCGAAGGCAGACGCTTAACTGACTGAGCCACCTGGTGCCCCCAAACAGTGTTACTTTAAAGAAAATATCCAGTAAATCAAGGTTTTCCTAATTCTAAGAGGTCTAAGAGCTCATTATAAGTTGTTGAGATTTTCCCAGGTTTAGAGGTAATTTGTAGACGTAATTGATTAGAAAGGGCTACAGGTTGCGAACTGACCGAAAAGTCCTAGGTCAATCATAGAAATTAGGAAGTTGACAATAATAGCAAAATTGCAGCTGAGAGAAATGCTCTCTAAATCCAAAGAACATTGAAATAGCTGTTAGCATGGAAAGGCAGTTTACCAGTAAAAAAAAATGCTCGCCACATCAACATTCCCATTCCCCACATCTGTGTGAGGTGGAAGTTAAAAGAATAGATTGTTTTCTTTCTCACCCTCTTTCATTTTATTCTTGCTGGTTAGTAGAGAAATGATCTTGGATAGAAAAATCTCATTAGAACTTTGATAAGTTGCTTTTTGAAATAGAGTTGTTTCCATGCCACAGACATTTGGAGTGAAGTATGTTTATTGAAATATATTTTTATAGAAAATATTACAGAACCTGTAATTGAAAACTTATGGCAGCATTTTGGGGAGTGATATGTTCTTAATGTTAATTTGTGGATTCGCTCCGAACTCCCTTCTGCTGTTTTAGAACCATTGGCTGAGTGAACGTATTCCAAGAGTCTTTTCAGATCTAAACTGTGTTTCATGGAATGGAGTATTTGGTGCTTAAATAATGTATAAATCCAGTTGGACAGGATCTGCCTGTCAGTTTTATTAACTTTGACCTTTTCTCCCATTATAAAGATGGTTCAGTAAATATTTAATGGGCCTCTTATAGATCTTGACAGTCAGAGCTGTGTTCCTGGAAACTGGGATGCATATATATGATTAACAAATGTCGCTTAATCACTATGAGTCAGCTTTGAAGGGCAGGTTTTGTTTTTTTGGAAAGAGGAGTCCTTCCCTCTCCGTGTGCTCTTAGAGGTGCAGTCTATGTTGAGAGCGCCCAAGATGGTAGACATTTTAAACCCTTTAAAAGACAGCAGCTAGCATGCATTTCTGCTGTTTTGGGGTTTTTTGTTTGTTTGAGCAAATGATCAAAATGATGCTAGGTGGGCAAAATCACCCTGCCACTCTGCATAGTTAGCAGGACTCTTCCACTCAAAGAGTCAGCAGGGCCAGAACGGCTGAGCTTGCATGGACCCTAATAAGATACAAAGAAGGAGGAGAGCCAAAAGGAGAGATGATTCCTTGAGCCAGGAGGGGACCCCTGCCAAGCTGTCTTTTCCTTTAATTCCATAAAACCCCATGCATATTGCACTCATTGCAAATTCTGGTGGGGAAGATCGAAACCCAAGTAGCTGACATTTTGAAACATTGTCTTTCAAACTTGTACTGTCCCTTGCTTCCATTGATTTCCCATTTAAGAAATCTGTAGGAGAAAAACAAATTTGAGCAAAATTCATTGGTCTGAGTTGTTAGAGCCAAATTATGCACCCCCCCTTTCCACCCTGAGAAGAGCTCCATTTTTATTATGAATGTGATACATCTTTGTCTTGTACTGTGCAGCCATAAGGCTCTCACAGCAAATCGACCAAGTAAATCAAGAGCCTGTTAAAAAGCAATATGGATGCTCCAAACACAGACACTTCGGTCTTACTGGGTCACTGGATATCTTCATTTTTATGGCCACTTTCAAGAAGCAGATCATTTCAGTTGGTTCTGTTTTCTTGCTCTCTCTATTTGTACGCAGCCCACTGGCTTTAGGTGAGCCATTTATTTTTCAGAACGTTATTACCCTTTGCATGCAGGGCCCAGCCCCTTTGATATGGTGGTCACCAGTGTCATTACCAGGAACTGTAATGTAGCTGACTCTGCAAAGGAAATCTATGCCTTGAAGGAGCATTTTGAAAAGAAATTGATTCAGAGCTTCAGAGTGAATTACTATTTGTATGTTTAGTTAATTCTAAATAAATGTTTGAAGGACCTTGCTTAATTTGAGAAGGGAAGAAGAAACATACTGGATGTTATAAATGGTCTCAATCCAAATTCTTAGCTTGGCATTTTCACATTTGAATGTTTTATTTACATCTGTTCAAAATTGGAATACCTTTCAAGGATAATTTTATTATTGAGAGATTGATGACAACTCTTAAGATCTACATTACAAAAGTATGGGATTAAAAAAGGAAGATAGCAGTCACTGTCACATGTCAGATTGGATATAAGCTTCACTTGGCAAAGAGTGAGAATGATGAGTTGTATTTTAAAACAAAAGATCCTGGTGGTAGGAGATGAGGGTGGGGGGGCGGGGAGACTGACTGCATTGGGGCACAAGGGAACTTTTGCAGTGATGGACATTGTCTGTACCTGGATTGGGATGGCGGTTTCACAGGTATAGACATTATCATAAATCATCAAACTATACACTTAAAATGTGTGCATTTTATTTATGTAAATTGTAACTCAGTAAGGTGGATTTTTTTTTAAAGTCCTGTTGGGTTTAGAATTAGGCAGTGTTACTTCTCCTTTCCAATAGCGAAATGGAGGTCTAGAGAAGTAAAATGACGTGTCCTGAGTAACTTCGAAGCTCAGCAGTTTGTCCAGAACAAAGCAAAGGATGCAGGCCTGGAGCTCACTGAAAGTATTTTGTGTCCTTAGCGGCACTGTGTTGTTCCAGTTACATGTACACAGAGTGAAACGAACTTCTCCATCCCGTTCTCTTCGGTGAGCCTGTATCCATTTGTATGCTTTGTTGTAAGATATGCTCAGGAGCTTATTCTTATGACTGATACTTGTATCTTCAGCACTGAAGACAGTGGCCCTGTGGTTCCGAATGTTGAGGCTGACCACACGGTGTGTTTCATATATGTTTATGATAGGCCATGTTGTGCTCCCAGTTAATGCAGTAGGCTACCCAGTTATGTGGTTTTTATTATAAGCAAGAGTTCCCAGAACTAATTTGTCTTTAAGGAATTCCTGTGGATCTTCTTATAAAGAATGACATAGGCTTTAAAAAACCATTGATATAAAGCATATATGAAATAGTAGTGAAAAATAAAGAAGAAAGAAAAAATTACTTAAGTTCTGCTACTTAGGAATAGACCGTTAACGGGTTTTTTTTTAAGATTTTATTCTATTTATTTGAGAGAGAGATGCACACACAGGCTGTGCAGGTGAGGGGAGCGGTGGCGGGGGGGAGAATCCCAAGCAGGCTCCCCGCTGAATGTGGAGTCAATGAGGGGCTCTATCTCACAACCCTGAGATCACGACCTGAGCCAGAACCAAGAATCGGATACTTAACCCACTTAGCCACCCAGGTGCCCCTATTACTGTTAATATTTGAGAGACCATCTTTTTAAGTGTCTCTCCGTTTACAATGTAACCTGTTTTTGTTTTTTATTCAACAAAATGATGTCGTAAATTGCTTTCCATATCTTAACCAAGTTCCCAGTTATTGTTGGGCATTCAGGTGGTCGCTGGTTCTCCATCATTAGGTAATGCTGTGATGAACAACCTTGTCTATGCTTCTTTCCGTTTGTCTCAGTAGCTCCTTACAAATACATTCCTTGAAGCAAAATGTTAGCCGCTGCATTTGCCGTGATTTAGAATGTTCTAAGGGGGTAAGATACATCAAGTATTGGCCTCCGTTTATCAAATGGTATTTTTCTTCCCCTTTTGTTTTGTTTGTGCAGTTGCAGTACCATGCAGGTCTGGCGTCTGGCCTTTTGAATCAACAGTCCTTGAAACGCTCTGCTAACCAGATGGGAGTATCTGCTAAACGGAGACCAAAGGCTCAGCCCACGACTCTTGTCTTACCACCTCAGTAAGTAATGGGTTTGAAACAGTTCTTTTGTCCTGGGTGAACTCTCCTTGGTGCTTGTTTTTGGTGAATGGAAAGTTATTTTTTGTGAAATTGTTCTTCCTTTTGCCAAGGTACCTGCTAAGATTAGAAACCCAGCACACAGGTAACATCTTTTTGCATAGATCTTAAGTGAAGCAGTGATGATGAGCTTTGTAATTGACATACTTTGTGTAACTTTTCCACCTAGGATTTAAAGCTACCTCCTAGCCTTTTCTTTATTTCCTTGTCATAGTCGCAAAGTTGGCAGAGCCTAAGTACGGTTGTCCTTATTTCACCGATGAGACAGCTGAGGAGCACATTTTGATAAGCTGCAGGCCGCCTAGAGAATCTGGGGGAGCTGGGATTCGAGTCGTGCTAGGCTCACTTGTTCTCTTTTAAACTCGTAAAATGTGAGCCCTTCTTTTTCCTAGTAGGAGAGAGAAGAGATACTGTGAGGTTCAGAAATGTACAGCATGGTGATTGTTTTCACATGTGCACACCTCCACGTAGCTCCACCCAGATCAGGCCACGTGGCCACCGCTTCCAGAAGCCCTAGAGGGCTCCTCCCCATGTTCCCAGTCTGTACACTTGCTGCCTCCCTACCCAGGTTTAGCACTGTTCCACCTTCTTTGAACGATTGATTTTTACCTGTTCTTGAACTTCATATCATTGGAATCACACAATATGTAATCTTTTATTATCAGCTCTTTTTCACCCAGCATAATGTCTATTATATTTGTCCAGGTTGTTTGTTCTTTTTTGTTGCTATGTAATATTCTTTCGATTATGCCACAAGGGATTCATCCATTTACCTGTTGGGTTATTTTGTGCTAGAAGCCCTGGTAGATGAAGGCCAGGGCTCACTCTGTGTGGAATCAGAGATGTGAACACACCAGTCTTTGCTGATAGCTTCCCTGTGAGCATGCACACTCCCCTGAGCAAGGCCATACTCCCAAACGGCTTGGCTGGGACTTTAGACATGTTCCCTAGCCTGTCCTGCCCTCCTATTGTACCCTCTTTTGGTTACATGCTCAGTTACAAACTACAGCTGACACCTTGAACAATGCAGGGGTCATGGGCACAGTCGAAGATCTGTGTATCTGTGTATTACTTTTGGTTCCCCCCAAACTTAACTACTGATAGCCTAATAGTGACTAGAAGCCTACAGATAACATAAACAGTCGATTAACAGGTATTTTGTATGTTAAGTGTATTATATACTCTATTCTTAGAATAAAATAAGCTAGAAAAAAGAAAATGTTATTAGGAAAATTAAAAGGAAGAGAAAATACATTTATAGTACTGTATTGACAAAAATATCATATATAAAGTGGACCCGTGCATTTCCAGCCTGTTCAGGGATCAGCTGTACATTTTAAAATTTCCAGTCCAGAGGAATGTTTCCAGGTGAGACTCAGTTGTTTGCCTTTATGCAAGATTTCACTTATTTTCTGTTTGATTAGCAAATATTGTACCTGCTATCTGCAGGCACTGTCCTAGGCTGTGGAGGATACAATTGTGAGCAACACAGATGTGGTCCCACCTTCCTGAAGCTTTTTTTTGCTGGGGAAAGAAGACCAAAAAAAAAAAAAAACCCAAAAAGCCCTAAACAAATTAACAAATTAATAATTTCCGGTTGTGATTGGTGCTTAGAAAGGAACACATAGGGTAGTGAGGGATGGGATTGGGGAAACTGCTTAGACCGTGTGGTCAGAGGCCTCTCCAAGGAGAAGACGTTAGGTGGAGAGAGGCCAGCAGAGAGCTGGGAGGTCACGGAGGATGCCTCAAGATCTTTTCCCTCATCACTGGACACTCGCACCACCATTTCTGTGATTTTTCAGGCTTTCTTCACAATTAACATTTGCTTCCAGGAGAAGAGGAGCATAACCAACCAGCCTCCAACAAGTTATTTTTTGCCTGCCGCATGCACAGGTGCACGGTTTTCAGACACTTGGAGTGATGCAAAGCGGAGAATTTTCACTGTTTGGTAGAAGGCTTCTGAAGGAACATTATCTGTTGTTTCTCATATGTTGATTTGGTGATTCTGCAAATCTCCAACTTTCAGCTCTCCAAAGTCTAATGGGCCTTGTAACTTGTCATTTTCCCTGCATGGATTGTCTACCGAGGCAAGATGTTTGGTGAGAAGTGAAAGACTTTCTAATGGTCCCATTAGACTGGAGCCAAAAAGTGTTTGTTGCTAACTCTCTCTTGACAAAAGACAGCTCTTAGTCCATCTGTTCACCATTTGTTCATTTGCATTGGCTTGAAACCTGTTTACAGGTGACATGCTATTATGAGGACACTTAGAAACTATTTTAAGCACCAAGGCAATCAACAGACTCTGTTCTCATGCCAAAAAAAAAAAAAAGGTGTTCACAACTGTCATTATAAATTTATAATAAATCACTCAAAATACTTAGTTTCAAAGAGAAAAGTGGTTACTGTGTCCTAAGAATACAACGTCGGAATGATTTCCTATACTTAGTAGCCTGTCTCCTGTGAAAATTGACTGCTGCCTTTTCACATCATTGAGCTTTTGGGGCTCATGCTATTGTGGATCCCTTCAAAGACCTGTCCAGTAGGCAGGATCTATAGCTAAAGGACCTTCAGTGCACTTTTATTGAGCACCTACTATGTGCTTCTTATTGTGGTAGAGTCAGGAATAGAAATACCAGCAAGACAAAGCTGCTGGACTAATTGAATCCAAAAATTTTTAAATTAAAACATAGGCCACTAGTAATATATACATATTGTAGACCTTGAACAAACCAAAGATGACACGAAAGGAAAACATAATAATACTGTCACACAGAGAAAGTTATTGCTAAGGTTTTGATGGATATTGTCCTCAACTTTTTCTATGCATATATAATGTTTAAAAACAAGAAACAACCTCCAAAAGGGATTATATTGTAATGTTCTGTATGACATCTCAACATTTATTGAATGTAGTTGTTAGACTTGAAGGTCATGTAATTTTATCTATGGAGCATTTAAATTTGCATATTAATCAGCCATGTTGTGGCTGTATTCTGTAGAACAGTGCTAATTACAAAATTTGTATTACAAGCGTGACATGACCATAAAAACTTTGTCATTAAGGAAATCCCTTATAAAACAACACCCAAACCCTCCAGGACTGGTGCATTAGTCATCTATTGCTGCATAACAGATCGCCCCAAAACATGGTGATTTGACAACAGTAAACATGATCTCTCACATTTTTCGTGGCTCAGGAATCTGAGAGTGGCTTGGCTGCATGGTTCTGGCTCAGTCTCTCAGAAGATTGCAATCAGATATCAGCCAGAAATGCAATCATCTGAAGGTTGGACTGAGGTTTGGAGGTCTTGTCCAGGGTAACTCGCTCACATGGCAGGCAAGTTGGTGCTGGCTGTTGACAAGAGACCTCAGTCCCTCTCCACAGGAGGCTTGAGTACCCTCATGACTTGCGGGTGACTTCTCCCAGAGCAAGCCATCTCAGAGAATGAGAGCCAGGCAGAGTCGATCCTTTTTATGACCTAGCCTCCAAAGGCACAGCATCCATTCCACCCCATTCTGTTAGTTAGAAATGAGTCACTAAGTCTGACTGATGTTTAAGGGGAAGGGATGAGGCTCTCCCTTTTGAAAGGAGGATTATCAAAAAATTTGTGGATGTTTTTTAAAACCACCGCAGTTGCCAATGAGGAGAGTCATTGCACAGAGGGAAGAAGGGTTGAGCCTGTAAGCCCCATTCACTTATTTATTCGGCAAATTATTTACTCAGGGCCTACAGGTGTTTGGTCCTATGCTCTGTGCTGGGGATTTGGAGATGCATAAGATAGAATTTGGCTTTCACGAAGCTCTGAGCAGAAACAGAGGAACAAACAAGTAGCAGGGAATCCTAGTAATGTGTGCCAAGTCCTAATGACATGATCCCAGAATGCTCAAGAAGGCCACAGGCAGGGCGCTGAGAGAGATCCACGCTTAGGGAGGCCTAGCCAAACTTCACTGAATTTCTCCACTGCCAGGTGAAAGACGGAAGCCTGACTTTATTAAGAGAGCTTCATGCTTTCTCACATTGGCTTACAGGATTCTAAGGAAAGGGTTTATTTCTCCATGGAGGAAACCAGTGGAGGACCAGTGCTGGGCCCCATACTCACCCTCCTCTGGACCTCTGTTGATGCAGTGACAGACGGGTTTCTGCATTGGCTCATGTCAGCATCTGGATGGCAGTAAGTCTGCCACAGCAAAACCCCTGGCTCTGCCTAAGTGTGCTGAGACCACAGGCATGGCGAGAATGCAGGAGATTTGTGCAGGTGTTTGTTTTTAAAATGCAGTTGGCTTGAACAGCAGTAGTCTTTGAATTGACTCTGATTCTCCCCTGAATTCCCATAGGATTAGTGATTCATGGGATTAATGATTCATATCTTTCTCCTCCCCCAAAGAAGCTTGTAAGAAGACAAAGATGCTGTTCGTAATGAAAGATCTTTTATCACGTGTTAGCATTCAGAGCGCACTGACGAAGCCACCTCACTTCTGTGATTCCCGAATGGCCGTGTTGAGTCTGTTGCGAAAAGGGCCCGGTCGTTTTCAGAAAGGAGCTGTGTCCCCTGTTCCTGGGTAAACATTATCAGGTCTTGCCCCTTGTAGGAATGAGATCAGCTAAGAGTGGCTGTCTTACTTGATTGATCTGCAAGTTGCCTATTGAGATATCTGTGTATTTAATACATGTCAGATGTGCCCATGTTTACTTGTGCTTTCTTAGATAACAATCTTACATTCACGACACATTGTTCAGCCTGCTTTTCTGTTAACATCGATACGGGTTTTGATCCATATCGTCAGGCCGAATGGCCTGGGACACCTGGCGGTGGCCTGATGAAGTGCTGACTCTCGGTGGCAGCGAGGTTCTTACTTCGCACACAGAGATCTCATTTAGATTCGAGGGGAAAAATTGTTCTACAGAAAGGTTATTTTTAAAAGTATTACCCCATCCAGCCCCT